GAAAGATGAAAATTTTGGGGGAAAGTATCCCAAATGGGAAATTTAAAATTATCACAAAAACATGTATACCCCCTATAAATCAATCAATACCCACATGAAAACTCTTTATGAAACATCTCCCTTCAAAAAATCGTTAAATGACTTCATTTGTTTGTTTTGATTCACAATAAGAGTCTCTTTATTAAGAAAAAATCTACATTACTATATTTTTATGTAATTAGTTATAATTGAAATTAATTGAACAGTAAATGTAAGTATACAATGTGTATGTACGTCAATTACAACACTTTGTAAAGTTGAAGATCAAAACCTTTTTAGACATTGAATCAAATTCACACTGTACTGCTGCTAGTGCAGTATCATTAAAAAAATTTACAATTGTACCATTATTGATAACTATGTACGAGTATTTTCAATAAAATACCACTATTGATGACGTCACTCAAGTAGGGACCCACTTTAATTAAATTATTAGAGATTCTATCTTTTTCTTACAATTGTTCTTATATACAGAAATACCAGAAACTTTTACACAAATGTATTTGCTTACAAGGGCATTGGAAAACGAAAGGATGATTCTCTATAAGGCCATTTTCCGGCCTACGATAAAATCACTTAAAAATGTGATTTTATGTAACTTTAATCATTATATTTCATGATTTTGATGTTTGTTTTTCAACATCGATCACCTAAGTCGCGTGATTTAAAGATCACAAGCGGCCGTCAAGTAAAGAAAAATTGAGGGTAGGTCTATTTACATCAAGTTTTCATGCATGTTTCTAGATGTAAATGATCAAAAATTGTTTATTTATGTCGGAAACATATCAGACTTAAGTAATAAAAGCAAAGATTTTTTAATTTAAGGCTAAAGATATTTTTTATGGCAAGAATTTTGATGCATTCACATTTTGCATATTTTGAATGTAAATCTTTACAAAATGAACCTCGTACGATGTTGAAAAATGTTTAATTAGCATTTAATTAAAAGTATTATTTCATATATGTTTATATTGTACTTGTGTATTGTTTCTATAGATGTGGTACCTATTTTACGCATAAAATGCCCATGCAAGAAATGAGATTTCTAAGTTTCTTTTGAACTATAAAAGTTGTGTATCAAATGTTTAAAGCAATGAATGAATTTTGTTTGTGATTAAATCAAAATTAAGTTGTAATTTATAAAATATAGTCTACATTTGCAAAAAAAATAAAGAATTCATTAATTTACAGGATGAAAATATTAATGCAAGTACATGTTAATAGTCAGTACATAAAACTCAGAACGGTTGTATTAAAAATATATATATCGACGTAAAATGAAAAAACATCGTAAGAGTTGATTTGATTCAATTTAATTACGCATGTAAAACAATATGTTTAATTTAAAATGCTATCTTAACTATAATACACAAATGTATGTATAAAAGTCGAGCCCCCCCCCCCCCCCCCCCAACGGCACTCCATAAAATGGAGTAGATTTTCAACAGTTCCTTCCACTACGCATATCAGAAGTTTTAGTATATCCATGGACTAACAGAGTTCTACAACATCCCAGGTACAAAATGGACCGTAAGAGATGACACTCCTTTCGCACTCTTGAAACCTGAGAATTAAATTCTCTTTCCGTGCTGCGTCAAGAACTAAGGTGTTTAACACGGGTAGTGACAGTTCCTTTGCTAAGTCCTCAGCATTGAAAGTAAAAGTCATGGGTCTCTTGGATATTATCTTAAAGAAGGAGGTCCTGTCCCACGGTAGGTGTTGGTCAATACTGAAACCATGCATAAATCAAAATTGTGACACTTCACCTTAAGTGGATGATCTCTTTATCTGGGTGAAAAATTCTAAAATGACGTAAAGCAACATTCAATTATCAATCACGTGACATTTAGGAACCCCTTTCCTCCTTGGCGTTTTATTTTCTAAGACAGAACTACTGTTCTCATAACTTATATTGATGCTACCAAAGGAGTGTGATGAATAGATTGAGTCCTCTCAACACCCAGTTAACAAAATACATGGATCCTATGTCACTCATACGGAAAAGTGTCCTTCTAAAAGGTCGAGGCGAGAATTTCCATCATGAAACCATCCCATCAGTAATTCTCTATCTATAAAAGTTACATGTGTACCCATAGAAAAATTAAGTTTATAACACAAATAGCAAATGCATCTTCCCGCTACAACAAAAATAGCTTTTATCATTTCTAGAACTAATAACAAATATGCAGTACTCCTAAGGAAATACAAATACAAAGAAGTAACATAGATAAACTAAACTATCCTTATAAATTATATAATTATAATAAGTAACTTATATTCATGTCTTATAGTCTATAAAAAAAATTCTTTATTTCTAGCAGATGGTTCAATGAGACTTGTCTTCACGTAATTTCATAACAACCAGTCATTTCAGTCCTTTGATTTTAGATTTTTTAAGTAAAAAGTTTACCTTTTTTGAGTAAACATGCATGGCTTACATTAATTCTTAGTAAATCAATAGAAACATGTACTCTAAGTGGAAGTTTATAATAAGAAATAATCTACATTAAGCTGATATCCTTCATCGTAAGTAGTTAGCTTTTCCTGCAAATATCGTAAAAATGAAGCGAAAAGTTTTTATTTACATGTCATAACCACCTTTAACCAAGTTGATAATTTGGTAGTCACTTTTTATGTTCATAAAAAGTTTACATGCAAATTTTGGTGTTGGTTAAAGGTGGTTATGACATGTGTAGGAGTTACCTAACACACCAACCCTCTTGAGTTTTCCCATTACCCTAATGCTAATACGGACCGATAGTACCTTACTTTGTGACCCTATATCATAACAAATACTTTTGTATCATTAACCAATCAACATTTATCATTAAATTGGAACATTAGCCTACTGACTCATGCAGTTTTTAAGGGAAAAAATACTATTTGAAAATTTGAAGTCATTGTAGGCCGCAAAACGGCCTTATAGAGAATGATCCTTTGGGATATGAATAGTTTACTCAATAACTAATGTAATATAATGATTGATGTCCAAGAATTGATCTGTAGTGTCCAATATGTTGTAATGTATTAAAATTAAACATTTGAAGAATCAACAAACAAACAAACTGAAATCAAATCAAAACAAACAACAAAAATCAAGAAAAAAGAGAAGAAAAACAAGACCTGACATGCATGTGAAAGACAAACAAAAAATTGTTTTTATGAATCCAAAATCACACACAGTAAATAAATTTACCATCGCGGCAACTTTAATCTTAAAATATGAGAATAAAAATATATAGAAAATGAGAATATATGTTTTGTATAATTATGTTGTTTGTTTATTGTTCGCCTTCCATCAACAGTCCCAGTCATCTTTAATATGCAACAAAACTTAAGGACACTGAAAATTACTTGCTGTTGAGTTTATAATAAATATTTACAATAGGTGACTATAACAGTAAAAAGTAAAATACAATGTCTACATTTAAACGAAATTGTAAAGAACAGCTGTGGTTAGCTTGGGGGCCCCGACGGTCATTGTCCTTGACCTGCTTGGGGCCTCGAAGTACACAGAGCCCTTGTCGTCTAAAGTAGCATCCCTCTAACACTAGACCCTGGATCCGCTCCTGTTGTATATTAGCGGGCGGCGAACGAACCATTTAAAATTTATGTATGTATTGCACTTAATTTAAGCCCTCGATTTAATTGAAGTGTTTGATATTTTCAGGAATCCGTATGATTATTTGCATTTGAGAGATTATGTTTTCATAGTGAGTAACCCATGTTAGATTTGTCTTCATGTTACACCTTCATTGAAGGTGTTTGGATTCATGATTCTAATATGTGACCATACAGAGGATAAACATGTCTCTATATGTTTTTTAAAATTTGAAATTGAGAGGGGCATTAATATTTTTCAGGATGGAATGCCATATACCAGTCTGACTCTCATCCCGTAACTTCTTCTAAATGTATTTGATTTTCATATTTCTATTAATTATGCTGTCGCTTGCAAAGATTCTGCGTTTACTATAATTAAAAAGGTGAAGATAACTAACAATGGCCGATGTGGGGGAAAAAAAAAAAAAAAAAACAAAAAAAAAAAAAACAAAAAACAAAACAAAAAAAAAAAAAACAGACCCCCGGAAATTCCAGAGGTGGGATCAGATGCCTAGGAGGAGTAAGCATCCTCTGTTGACCGAACACAACCGCCGTGAGCCCTATATGTATTGATCAAGTAGACGGAACATTATGAAGTCAAATTTAGTTTGTAAACAAAGGTCTTATAATTGATAGAAAATAAGTCAGCCAAAATACGACCCAATGATAGGTTATATTTTCCTAACAAGGTCATTATAACGACTATAGAATTTACAAAATTCTGACTTTATACTAGGTTACTTAAATGTCTATCAACTTATCTGGCATTAACTGTCTCGGTTTAAAAAATGATCGTATTCACATCGTATGCTTTTGAGTATCGAATATAATTAAGATACTCAGAAAAAATGTAAGTTAAAATCAAGAGTATAGTCCGAGAACATTGCTTTGGGTTACACCAAAATTAACAGGCACTAAGGTGTAAATGTGATTTAGTAAATTGTCTGTGTCCTGTCTGTTAAGAAATGCCAGGATTCATTGAAATATATTGTTTCCTTTGCTATAGAATTTCAATAGAAAGCGGCGATGTAGAACTTTATCAAATGGCTTTGCAATGTCCATAATGATTAGGCCTTTTTGTATGTTACTTTTATAATTTTTTAAGTATGAAATCAATTAGTTGCGATAAAACTTTATCAAATGGATTTGCAAAATCCATAGTGAATAGGCCTTTTTATACGTTATTACTGTTTTTGTAACCTGTTTTGAGTATGAAATCCATTAGTTGTGATTAGCAGATTTTCTGAAGCCATGTAGTAGGTTATATAGAGAAATGTTGTTTAAACAGATTCCAAAGTATCAAATACTGAGTAGAATCAGAGTTAACAGACTTTTTTTGCAACCATATTGTAATCTTTCTAAACAACTTCAAAGGTTTCATTTTCATTGTCGCCTTCATTGTCTAAACTCTTCTTGAATTGGAAAATGATCAAAGAATCTGACGACGAACATTCTGAAAATAAGTCCAACAAATCTTCACTATGTTTTTCCAGCAATTTTAGCACATGCTCATCCTGCTCTTTATTCCTCTGAATAGTTTTAAGAAGGACGTCTGCCGAACTTGAACTATCGTCATGCTTTTTGGCAACAGTAAACATTTGCCACAGAACTACGGATTGAAGAGTTGTCATTTTAGTGAATGCAATCGTTAAAGATTGAATTTTCTTCCGAAAGACAGTACAGCCGACAGTAGGGTAGCTAGTAAAATGGTTTTCTATTTGACTTCTCAGTTTTCTGATACTTCTTATCTCTTGTAAAAGCAGGGACTGTGACATCATTGTCGAGACGTCAGTTTCATTAACTCCATTTTTATCTTCAATGCTTCTGAGATAGAAAGTGAACTGGACAAACTTTGATACGTCTTCCGCCATATTTTTCTTCAATTCACTCTCCATTTGTAACCCCTCTTGGACAAACGATTCAATGTTTTTCTCTTGCCAGACAAGCCTCAGAAGAGAATTATTTAATCTAAAGACCGGCGTTAGGGCTGAGGAGGATGTGAAATCACACATAAATGTTCTATTGTTATTACCAAGCAATTCAAGAACGCCGTTCATTTTACTGGACGTATTTTCACATTTGAAAAATCCAATTGCTGTTTTCATATTTCTGACCACTGAAGCTATGGTGTCACCGGACTGGCCCGAGAGATGAGACTTAATTTTCGACACTAAGCTTTCAGCATTAATGCTTTTTGATTTCAGAAACTTTCTAATGTATTCCAGTTGTTTTGAACATTCCTCTCGAGGGTTTTCTTTCTAGAAATATTAGAAAAGGTTCAAATAAATTTGATATATAAGGAATAAAATCAACATTTTATCTAAATAAGAACTGATGTTCTGTTGAAGATGTGATCTTAAAAACATATAAATTTTGTAATACCGATGCAGATGCTGGTTCATTGCCCCCAGTTTGATTCTTAATTGGTGGAACCTGATAAAAAATTAAGAAATATAAACAAAAATAAACATTTTTTTATGTGGATCCTAAATAAAAATACAGAACGTGTAGGAATCTTCCTTACCAATTTGAATAAACACTGCTTTACTGTAGCGCAGGTTCGTTTGTCATCCAGACCTCTGACACTTTCAAATATTCCTTTGTCTAAGTATAAAAATTGATTTGGCCATTTCTTTGGAGAAAAAAGATAGAAAGTTTCCTTCCCATCAACCCTTATAACAATCCACTCTCCATCGTTCCCAGGCTTGTCCTCACAACATTTACAAAATCTATCCGTCTTCATCCAAACATAGTATTTTTCATCGCTCGATCGAATATAGAATAAATTTTGCGAACCCGGGAGAAACTCAAAACGAAAAAGGACGTCATCAGAATTCGTCTGCCGTTTAACTTTTTTCAGTGCCTTTATCTTGGCGAACGTTGGCCTTGAAAGAACGTATTCTTCTCCTTTTTCATCAACATTTGGTTGAATGCATAAATCTTGTTTATCAAAGTTACCACTAAGATCCTGCAACTTTAAATTTAATTCGGTAGCAAAACGTACGATGTGCTCTTGCTTACTGAAGTCGAAAAACGCAAAAAGTGTCACTGATTTTTCAATGGTTGGTGATTCCAAAAACCTAAGCAACTCTCTGGCACGGTCTTTGTCCTTTTCCATGACCTTCGTAATAGCTGTAGCTGTCTGTGGACTGTAGTTCGTTAATCTCAGTACGGTCAACATTTGCAGAAGTAATGCATGTCTAAGCACCGAAACTCTCACGAAGAGATTGATGTACAGTAAACACCTCTCCGCTTGTGGTTTGTCCATATCACATGAGATCAGACTCTCAATCCGACTTTTCAAATTTCCAATGTGCTCCACACCAATGTCAATGTTAACGTTTGCGATCATAATTTGTATTACGTTCGTTTCTATGTTATCAGGGTCATTTATTGCACCAACATATATTTGTGAAGTTGACAACTTTTCTATGATGCCTGCAATTTCGTGTTTCACAACATCATCAGCTTGAACCTCTTCTGCAAGCTTTTTTACGATGCTATTTTCTTTGGAGACCAGATTCAAGAAAGCCGTAACAATTGGAAAAACCTGTTTTAGTTGACGAGAGTAAGGAATAACTGAGTCGAGATGATTAGTTAGTGAGGACAGGAAAGTTATTGAGGATTTCATGAGATCACCGAGGCTCCTGTATTCTGCAATCGAAGACCACAAACATCCCATTATTGCGTCAGCTTTTCCCGTGATACCCTCTTGGGAAGCCATTTCTCGCTTTATTTTTGAAACATCCATTCCATTTTCACGGAGAAAAGTATTCATTCCCTTTAGTGTTGAAAGATCGATGTCCTTTTCTTTGAAAAATGTTTCGAGATCATTCCAATGACTTTTCCAATGATCTATATCCATTGCAGATGTCATTTCAATATCCTTCCTCTGTATGACTGATTCTGTAATTATGCATTAGTTTGACAATATATATATATATATATATATATATATATATATATATATATATATATATATATATATATATATATATATATATATATATATATATATATATATACTCATTGTTATACTGTTAGCACATATCATTTAAAACTTTCACAATGATATAGAGCAAGAAAAAAAGGATTAACATTTAATTTTTAATAGATGATACATGTGAATTCCATCTTGTGAAAAAACAAAGTAATGCAAAATGTACAACTTACAGTCTGCGCTTTCTTCTTGTAGGTTTCAAACTGTCGAGTTCTGATGTTGTGATTACAAACTCATTGTGATGTAAATACCCCCACGAGTAAACATGGATTCAATATTGGGTATATTTCTGTTATCTTGTAGATCACGTTTTTTGTTTATAATTGGCAATATCTTGATGAAGTTACGATTGAGGAGTCATCAAAAGCTTTAAAGTGACACACAAATCAGAATGAATATTTAGCACTGTGTAAATTGCACATATCAAACAACATATTTCGGAGGTTGACTAAATCAAAAATGGTTACCGGTACTTAAAACCCCTAAAAAATTGAGAGAAAAATGAAATTACATATATTTTTTCTAAAGATCCACAGCATCAAAACGTATGACTTTTACAACTCCCCCCCCCCTTTTTTTTTACACATCAATTCACAAAGAATTAATGACCAGGCTTTTTGATATCAAAAATTGCTTCTTGAAACCTATATTGTCATCACTGTTCGCTGTCTTCACCCAATTCATTAATTAGTTGTCTGTAAAATTACTCTGATTCAGATCCTAAGCACATGTACTGTGAAGCTCGTTAAAATAAGCTGGGGTTCTTATCTATTTAGTCTTTGGAGACCAGGTCCTCCAACAATTTGTTGGATTTCCAATGGGAGCTACTTGTGTTTCTGTCTTTTTTAAAGTCTCAGGAGGCAGAAATTATTCAAAATTTAAGGAGAAGAAAAACTCCTGCTATTTTCTGGAATTCAATATTCAGATATATCGACGATGTTTTATTGATACGCGAATTTTCATTCCTATGACTACTCCCAGTGAATTAAAAATAAAAACACCATATAATTTGCCAAATTTGTTTCATATTTGGATATAACTGTATATAGATGTTAATTGAAAATGTTTGTTTGTTTATTGTTGTTTAACGTCCCTCTCGAGAATTTTTTACTCATATGGAGACGCCACCACTTGTCGGTGGAGAGCTGTAAATCTTGACCTATACTCGGCACTTTGAGCCATTGAGCAGTGAGGGATCTTTTTCGTGCCAGCACCTACAGCGAAATGGGACCTCGGTTTATACAGTCTCATCAGTTGGTAGACAATGTATATTAAATATGAAGATAATGAAACGATACAAATTTGGAGCAGAGCAAACACGGACCTCAAAATTTAGAGAAGAATCCGTAGACAGTCCAGTGTATAAATAATGGCCTAACAATTAGTAATGAAAAACGTCAGTCAGCATTTGACTCAGTAATAGGTTGTATGTGTTGACAAGGTCATTGTATCGACCATAAAACTTGCGAAATGATGACTTTAAAGGAGACTGTTGATATCCTTGTTTCACCAACTTGTTTGTCAATAGTTTGCCCTCGTTTTAGAAATTGTTCATACGTAGAACATACTCTTGTGTATCGAATCAACTGAGAGACAAAAACCCCATATGAAGGTGATAAGGGTATATTGTTACATAAGTAAGGGAAGTTTTGACAATTGAAAAGTTGAAGTCATCACGTTTATCATAAAGCTTTGTTGTTAGGTTACCATTAACGCATTTTTCTAGTAAAATATTTAAATATGAAGCAGGTGTGTCAGAGTCTGTGGTATCTTTTATTTCAAGCTCACCGGGATATTTCGAGTCGACATATGAATGATAGTTAATTGATAATACATCGCCGATATATCGAAATGTCGAGTTGAAGGCCACAGCAGGTGTTTTCTTCTCATGTAGAAGTTTTTGAATAAGTTCTGAGTAAACATCCCCTGTCGACCGGTCACACCTGCTGTGTGTTCCTTGTCATGATCGGGTAAGATGAAACATCGTAGACAATTCAGTGATAAAAAAGTGGTCTAACAATTTGTATGAAAGACAACATTCGACTTAATGATAGATTGTATTTATTGACAAGGTCATTTTATCGACCATAGAATTTGCGAAAGTTTGACTTTCAACAAGACTGTTGATATCCTTGTTTCATCAACTTATCTGTCAATAGCTTGCCTCGTTTCAGAAATTGTTCGTACGTAGAGCATGCTCTTGAGTATCGAATCAAAAGGGAGACAAAAACTCCATATGAAGGTGATAATGGTATATTGCTATCTAAATAAGGGAAATTTACGATAAATAGTTGAAGTCATCACGTTTGTCACAAAGTTATGTTGTTAGGTTACCATTAACGTCTTTTCCAGAAAAATACCCAAATATTAAACAGATGTGTAGGACTTTGTGGTATCTTTTATTCGAGTTCAAAGGGATATATCGAATCAACTTAGGAATGAAAATGAATACTGTTAAAAGATAAAACGACGTTGATATATCTAAATGCTGAATTGAAGGTCATATCAAGAAACTTCTTCATTTGATGTAGAAGTTTTTGAATACATTCTGCTTCATATGATTACAAAAAAAAAAAAAAAAAAAAAAAAAAAAAAAAAAAAAAAAAAAAAAAAACAGGTCAGCTAATAAAGGAGTGCAATTCAGCTGGATAATGCACGGCCTCATATCACTCTTGACTTCTTGAATGCCAACCAGATAATCCGTATGCCATTTCTTGCATGGTCGAACTATCTAAACCCGATGGAACATTTTTATGATGAGTTAGGAAAACGTCTACGCCAACGGCAACCCAGAGATGCTCCGGAGCTGACCCAGGCTCTTCAGGAACAGTGTAACAATATTCCACAAAGACGTGATCGTGCTCTCTGCACTTCCATGAATTCCCATTTACCTGCTTGCATTAATACAGTAAAACTCGTTTAGTGCGAGCACGGATATGGCGAATTTATGGATATAGCCAAGGTTTTTTTTAATCGCCGGGAAAATTTCTGACAATTTATGGTAAATTTTTACGGATATATTAGTAACGAACTCGGATATAGCGAATTTACGGATATAACGAACTGATTTTCTATTCCATAGAGGTTAAAAATAAAGAAATTTACATCTTTAATAGCGAATTTTCAAGGATCTCATTTTCAAAATATTGAGCTGACACTATTTTTTGTAAGTATCTTAAGTTTGAAATTCAATTCATCCGAAAAAAAATTAACTCCAAGGTAGTTTTTGTATTTAATACTTCCAAAAATACATTTGGTAGTCATACTTGAAGGGGAAAATAAATCTATATTGCGAATTCGCTATATATAACAAATTTGTTATACGGATATAACGAACTAGGGATATAGCGAAGTAATTTCGCAGGTCCCCAAGACTTCGCTAAAACCGAGTTTTACTGTACTGACCAAATAATTGAATAGTGAAGATATGCTGACTTAAGTTTTAAAATGTAAAGTGTACAATATCTATTTCCATATTTCATTAAATGTTTAAAGCACATATTGCATTCAATTCAAATAAATTTTGTTTAATTAAATGGTGCCCTAATTTTGTTATCCTCTTGCAACTAAATAAACTTATATATGAAATTTTAAATTACATACAGTAATCAAGCTCAAAGGTATAATGGACCATATAAACTGGGAGCAGAGCAAACGCAGGCCTTTAAAAACATCAGAGGTAGGATCAGGTACCATGGAGGAGTAAGCTTCCCCTGTTGCAGTTACACCCGCTGTGTGCTCCTTGTCATGATCAGTTAAACGGAAAAATTCATAGACAATTCAGAGTTGAAATAATAGCTTTACAATTTGTGCGAAAAAAGTCAGTCAATAATCGACTTTACGATGAATTGTATTTGCTTACAAGGACATTGTATCGACCATAAAATTTGCGAAAGGTTGACCTTTCCCGAGACTGCTGATATCCATATCGTCAAAAGCTTGCCTCGTTTTAGAAATTGTTATATGTAAAACATGCTCTTGCGTTTAGAATCAACTGGAAAACTCCATATGCAGCTGAAAATGGTATATTGCTACCTAAATAAGGGAAGTTGACGATAGAAAAGTTGAAGTTATCACGTTTATCATAAAATTTTGTTGGATGTTTGCCATTTATGTCTTTCTCTAGTAATATCTTAATATTAAACAGATGTGTAAGACTCTGTAGTGTCTTTTATTTCGAGTTCAAAGGGAGTTCAAAGGAATATATCGAATCAACGTAGGAATGAAAATGAAAATTGCTAATAGATAAAACGTCTTCGATATATCTCATTCTTCGAAGTGAAGTCCACAGCAAGAGGCTTCTTCTTTACAGGTAGAAGTTTTTGAATAAATTCTACTTCATATGAATACAAAAACAGGTCAGCTTATAACGGGCATGGGAATTCCAACAGATTGTTGAAAGACCGATGACAAGGTATGTAATTATTATTGAAAAAGCAGTGGTCTATGATGTTAAAAAACCTTATCTTAAATTCATCGAGGTTGTTGTTTCTGGAAAGCGATATATTTAGGATATCCTTTTGGAGTGAAATTCACAGATGTTGGCTCTCACAATATTCGATAAGTCGAAGAGGGACTTAATACCATGAAAAGTGTGCTGGGAAAGGAGAGGGTTGTAATTAGAAATATGGAGATAACGAACAGTATTCAAGCTCTTAGTCCATTCAAACAATAAAATTCGGGAGCAGAGCGAACATGGACCTCCAAAAACATCAGAGGCGGGATAAGGTACCATGGAGGAGTGAGCATCCCTGCCGACATGTTACACCCGCCGTGTGCGCCATTTCGTGAACAGGAAAAAAACTCATTTTAGAATTAATTCAGCAATGGATGAGGTGTCAATCACAATCTTTTTCTCTTTAACGCGACGAATGGAA